GGGATCGCCAGAGGCAGGAGGAGCCGTAGCGGGCTCGGGCAGGCTGCGCCAGGAGGGGACGCGGCCAGATGGGCTGGGAACCCCCCCTGCAGGGAGCCTCTCTCCCGCTGGGCTTGGCAGCAGGATGGACAGATCCTCCCCAGGAATCCCTTCATTGCCATTGACTCCCTGATTTCTAGAACCTTCTCCTCTCTCCCCAGGGCCAGAGGGAGGATGACATCGGGGCTCCTCTGAGCCAGCAGCGCCCAGGCAGAGCCATGGAGTACGAGCTGCCCAACGCCACCGCCTTCTGGTTCTCCCCGGCCTCCCCCTTGGACAACTTCTCCCTGGAGGCGCCCGCCAACGCCTCCCAGAACGGCACGGGCCAGCACTTCGACCTGACCAGCAACGCCATCCTCACCTTCATCTACTTCGTGGTGTGCATCGTGGGGCTGTGCGGCAACACGCTGGTCATCTACGTCATCCTGCGCTACGCCAAGATGAAAACCATCACCAACATCTACATCCTCAACCTGGCCATCGCCGACGAGCTCTTCATGCTGGGCCTGCCCTTCCTGGCCATGCAGGTGGCCCTGGTGCACTGGCCCTTCGGCAAAGCCCTCTGCAGGATCGTCATGACCGTGGACGGCATCAACCAGTTCACCAGCATCTTCTGCCTGACGGTGATGAGCGTCGACCGCTACCTGGCCGTGGTGCATCCCATCAAATCCGCCAAGTGGAGGCGGCCCAGGACAGCCAAAATGATCAACGTGGCCGTCTGGGGCGTCTCCCTGCTGGTGATCATGCCCATCATGATTTACGCCGGCGTGCAGCACAACCACGGCAGGAGTAGCTGCACCATCATCTGGCCGGGAGAGTCGGGCGCCTGGTACACGGGGTTCATCATCTACGCCTTCATCCTGGGCTTCCTGGTGCCTCTCACCATCATCTGCCTTTGCTACCTGTTCATCATCATCAAAGTCAAGTCCTCGGGCATCAGGGTGGGCTCGTCCAAGAGGAAAAAGTCCGAGAAGAAAGTCACCAGGATGGTGTCCATCGTGGTGGCCGTCTTCATCTTCTGCTGGCTCCCCTTCTACATCTTCAACGTCTCCTCCGTGTCCGTCATGATCGTGCCCACGCCCGTCCTCAAGGGCATGTTCGACTTCGTGGTGGTGCTGAGCTACGCCAACAGCTGTGCCAACCCCATCCTCTACGCCTTCCTCTCCGACAACTTCAAGAAGAGCTTTCAGAACGTGCTGTGCCTGGTCAAGGTCAGCGGCATGGACGAGGCCGACCGCAGCGACAGCAAGCAGGACAAGTCCCGCCTCAACGAGACCACGGAGACGCAGAGGACCCTGCTCAACGGCGACCTGCAGACGAGCATCTGAGCGAGGGATGGCGGGGTTTGTCCTGCCTGCGCCCCTCCCCGGCTGCTGCAGGGGGTGGCACCGGGGCTCAGGGCAGCGGTGCCACCTGAGGGGACGGCTGGCAGCGCCCCGTGGCATCGGGGCTCCTCTGCTGGGCTGCTCTCTGCTGGGCTGCTCTCTGCTGGGCTGCATTCCGAGTGCTGGGAAGGATATACGGGTCAGGAGGAGCCGCCTCGCCAGGAAAACAAAGACAACTCGCGGCCACACCAAAGTGCCACCAAAGTGGGCACACCGGGGTCCCCAGTGCCACTCTCGGGGCCGGCTGGCTTTGTGGCTCTGCCCCTGGACACAGCGTGGGACCTCAGGAGGAGCCGAGGCCACAGGTGTGTGACAGAGTGGGGACGCACCTGCTGGGATCTCCCGAGGAGTGTCCCTCCCGAGGCCACCAGGATCTTTGGGATTGCGTTTTCCCGGGTTAATCCTTGTTCTGCCGCAGCCCTCTGCCCGGAGGGGACACTCCAGCTCGGAGGGGACATCCCCACGGGAAGCAGCCGTGCCCCTCTGACGCCGCCCTCTGC